AAGTTCATTTTTTTGTAATTTTTATTTTTTCTTTTGTTTTCTTCTTTCTGAAAGTTTGAAAGAGTTTTTTCTATATTTACATGCACTGCCTCATCACTACTAATTAAGTTATCAAAAAACTGATAATCTATAGAATCTTCAAACATTTCCAAAGTCTCTTCTGAGAGATCTGGTGTATAATCAGATTCCAATAAATCATCAAAAAACTTTTCATCACTGCTTAAATAATTACTATTATATTCAAAATGCTTATTTAATTTATTTTGGATTTTTTGGGGTGCTTTTTCTTCTGGGTTTGGAAGATTCATGACATATCTATCCGTTGGAGTGTAACTGGTTCGTTTTGCAAACTGTACTCCATCAGAAGAAATGGTCATTTGGCCCTGGAAGTGAGTGATAAAGTTTAAGCCAATTATGAAGGGATAATTATTTCGAATATTATGTACAATTACTTGGGGTAAGATGTACTTTTCTCCAAAATTTCCTGATCCCCAGTCCCAGAAAGAAATTTTTGCATCCTTTAGACATTTATCATATTTGAGTTGAGTTCCATCCATTTGAGTTCCATAAACAGCTTTCATTGTTGAGATTTGAGAACTCGGGATTTCTGTTTCAAGGATGTGAGATTTGGATGCTCCTGTATCAATCATTCCTAAGAATTCTTTCATTTCTCCATTTTTGAAGGTGATTGAACACAGTATGCTGAGTAGGGTATTTGGATCTTTGGGATTTGTTGGAACACTAGCTGATAAAGTAGAGATTTGTTCTTCTTTATCTGCTGTTGGTTCATTCGCATCTTTTCCTTTGAGTGGAAGTTTTGCTAATTGGTTCTCCAGTTCTTTTGTTCTTTGGTGGAGAAATTCTATTTGTTCTTCTAATTGCAAGATATACTCATCCTTTTCATTGAGTGTTTTATTCATTGATTTCATTTCTTGCAATAGAGACAATTTTTCTACATCTCTGATTAATTGTTCTTCATTTGGTGCAGGGATGTTTATTTGATTTACAGGTTTTGAAGGCTGTACCTGTTCAACCTTTTCTTTTAATTTTTTGTGACAGAATATACAATATACTTTGGAGCATATTATACATTTCAATTTTGTAGAAGGCTGGGTGTATCTTTGACAATCTAAACATTTTTCCCATTGTGGGGGTTGATTTGATTGCCATGAATGTTTGCAGTTAGAATCAATCTTGATCATCATGATTTTTATAGTATTTAATTTTTTATCAAGAGAATCTATAAACTGCTGAAGATTTTGATCCTCAGAGTCTATATCTTCTTCAGATTTTGAATAAGATTCAGATAAGTCTTCTATAAACAAATCTTCTGAAATGATGCTGTAAACATCACTTTCAGACTCGTATCCGCTTATAGAGATGATGTCTTCTTCTTCTACAAGATTTGCCCATATTTGAGATCTTTTAGTAGATTTGGTATCTTTGTCTTTGTTTGGGCATTTATTTGCATAATGTCTTGGATCTCCACATATGTAGCATTTTCTGTCTTTCTTTGGATTTTTGGGTTTTTTCACATATTTCTCTTTTTTACCCGTTTTTCCTTTTTTGAAGGTTTTACTTGGCTTAAGAGAATATGTTTTCTTTTTTATGAATTTTTTGGGTTTGGTTTTGCAAGAAAGACATTCTTTTTTGGACTTTTTGTATTCTTTTTGGGATTTTTTGTATTTTTTCCTCCTATTATATGATTCTTTTGAAGAACCATGTCCCCTAATTACAGATTTACAAAAACCAAATTTTTGCTTTTTAAGAGATTTTTGGATTTGAATATCTACACATTTTTCTCTTAATATTTTATATATAAACAAAATCCTAGGGCCTGCTCCTTGTTGAGGTGCAGGGTTTGAAGCTAGCCATTTCTCTTTGATTTGTTTACCAAGGGTGCTTGGTAGCTTATCAAAGATTCTGTTATTTAAGTTGTCATCAAATCCTTGTCCCGTTCTAGCAACAAGTTTAAGAAAATCATTACAAAAGGACTCGATTTGATACCAAGATGTTAACTGAAGGACCTCAAGTTCCTCAATAGCTTTATTTTGTAAAGCTCTTTCGGAATCAACAGTTACATCTGATCCTAAGAACATCTTTTTGATTAAAGAGGTAAAATTGTACGGATTTTCCCCCAAGTCTTGTGTTTCAGCAACTAAAGTTGGGTTCTCTCTTTTAAAGGTATTCCAGTACAATTCTACAGTGGGGCCTAGAAGTGTTTCTAGGAATTCGAACATCTCACCTTCCATAGATCGATTGATCCATGTCCGGCAAGCGTCTCTTTCCCATTGATCTATTATTTCTGCCCAAAGCTGTGGATTCCAACTTGGTAATTCTAGAATAGTCCCTTGCTGTTTTGCAGCAGGTAACTGGTTTGGGTCAATCTCCATTCATTTACCAAATTGTATCCTTTCTCTGTTCTCTCCCCTATACTCAAGTGTGGCTTGAGGTATGGGATATCTTCCTCCTAACTGGTATGTTCTAGAACCGAAGACTCTAGATGTTTTGGGAGCTTTAGAATTTTCTTCAATTTCGGATCTAGTTGGAGCACTAGGGTTCTGGTTAGGATTCTGACTTGGATTTTCAGGGGTTACATTCATGAATATTTTTTCCTGTTGGGATTCGTATTCATGAATAATTAGAAGTATGGGTTTTTGATTTTTGAAGTAAGCCTCAATTGGAAGTTCTAGGTCTAGAATTTGATCCTCAATGTCTTCCCCATGGTATTTTAGTGTTAAGACTTCTTCAACATTAACTTATTTTCCTTTTGAAGAAAAGTAAGTTTCAATGAATTCCCATTCTTCATTATATTTGTCTTGGATTGGTCCCCATTTTTCAAAATGTTCTTCCCTTTTTCTTAAGGTTTGAAGCCAAGAAGGTTCACTTTCTTCATTTTCAATTTCTTCAGTTAAGTGTAGCATCTTGATTTCAACCGTTTCTTCATTTTCTTCTTGTTTAGGAAGAATATTTTCATAGTCACTGAAGCTTAGACTCGTTTTTCCCTTATAATTTTGATATAAGGTATTTCGAGTGGGTACCATTATGGGCTTGCTGAGGAATTTGGTTATGTTCCATTCAGTTTCATTAAGATAGGTTGAATCTAAATGTTGAGCTTGAACGGCCTTAATTCCCTTTGTTCCAAATATTTCACATATTTCTTCACTGGTTACTCTATAATTGGTTGTGCCATTATGAGTTATTTGGCTAGTGAATCCTATGCAAACTAAAAGGTTTTTCTCTCCCTCAGCCATAGAATAGCCTTTAGTCATGATTCCTATTTTTTAAAATTGTTTAAAGGCTTTTATATCCATTTGGAAATTGGGAGTAAAATAAGCAAATCCCCCTTGTTCAGATAGGTCTATTTCGATAGATCCTATAAGGGATTGAATCATATCCTGATGTCTTGTGTCTAAAAGAGTTAAAAGGCATTTTGTACCTAAACCCTTTCTGTGAAGTGTTTTGACTCCTATAGTGATTAACCCTATGTGTACCAATGAATATTTCATTCTTTCGAGACTAAAATATCCATTTTCACTTAATAGTCTTAGGGTAACACTATCACTATCTTTGACACAGGATATTTGAACTTCCTGATAATGCTGAAAGATTGATCCAGCACTAAACAGAGAGTTGGCATTTTCATAAAGATACTTGGGTTTGACCAAGTCAAATTTATGAGTTTTGAATCTTTTTATTTGTTCTTCAAGGTCTATTAAAGTTTCGACTTTTATAGATTCTTGAATTTGTTTTCCTTTGGAGAACATCCTAATCAGAGGGTTGCCTGTGATTTTAGATGATTCCATGATTTTTGGATTTTAAGGTAACACAACGTAATTTCTTGA